AAGGGTGTCATCACATCCCCTCACTCGTTCATCCAACGGTAGTCTGCTCAAACGCCAATAAGGCAGAATAGGTCGAATAACTGGGTTAATTAAGCCTAATGGCCGTTTTAGTTGGTTGTGGTGGAAGCTACTGCATAGCGTGTGTATACTTTCCCTCCTGAAGTAACCTGGTAAGGGGATTCTCGAAACCCATGTTGACAAATTTTGCCAATCACCTCTTAGTGCAGTGTCCGGTTGACCGCTCCGGATGTCACAAAACCTCTACATAATGTAGGTGGTGGAGCAGTTTCAGTCGGACGAACCATTGTGGCCACCTTCGTATACTGCTCACAGTGCGACCTTGGGGATGTCCTAGCTGGCTTTAGCGAGTCATTTTCCCGAATTCCACGGTCTGAGAACTCATTGTTGATAACTAATATTATGGCAGAAGCGCTTTCCCTATCGACAGTTCGACCGTCGATTCCGTCGACATCCAGAGTGTGCCCCACAACAGGGTGTATGCAGGGACTGACTTGCGCGTTAGGTTATAGTGGTGTTAGACTTACACTGCATCTCCCGCACTCTCCTCCCCTACATGGACTCGGTGTCAAGGCAGAGTCAAGAAGACCGGAGAAAGGAGAGGACGCAGGTGGCTGGCACGTCAAAAATCCTCACCTAGGCGCACCACGTCTTACACATTACGCAACAGAAGGGGATGGCATGGATCCCACTAGGTGGGAGTGTCGTAGAGACCACGTTAAGAAGCAGCCATTTCAGCCTGACTCTCAGTCCACCACTCCACATAAAGGCACTTGGTTGACTGCGAGGTTCGAGTTATTCCGTCAGTTGACAACCTTCCGAGCCACGGTTTTTAGCGTACCATGATAGCCTTAAGCAAGTCAAATTGCCTAGAGTGAGGAATTATGCGCTGAGAGTCGGCCCTACCCACTCTACCCTATCCCGCACGACAGTCGACTGTCCGAGTCGGTCAACCTACTGGTGCTAAGATAATGAGAGGTGACTGACAGAGCTAAGAACAGCTCGTCTGCGCGTGCCACGCACACGGCCAAAGGCGCACACATAAAGGAGTTGGCCGTTCAAGTCACACATGCAGCAGAGGAGCCGCATGGGAAAAGGAGCTGCAGAGCGAGAGATGCCGATGATGTGCGATGTAGGAGCTGTTTACGTGTGATGCATATGCTGATGGGGGGATGCGTGATGATGTATTGAATGGTAGGGGACGCTCACCGATCGTTCTTACGGAACTCACTCGTTCCGTTGTGCCTTACGGGCTCTCTCTCTCGAGCCCCCAGCAGCGCATGATATAGGCAGTATGTTATTACCGACAAAGACAAGGGAGACTGAAATGGCCATTTCTGGCTTATTAGCCGTGGCCAGCCAGTCATGCCCAACCCCGAAGTGTGAAACACCCGAGCCTCGAACTCTCGACCTGTTGGTTTAGAAGTCCACGCCTCTAGCATACTGCGTATGTCATGCGCTACCGTGTGGATGCTGGCGGGGCTCGAGAGAGAGAGCCCGTAAGGCACAACGGAACGAATGAGTTCCGTAAGAACGATTGATGAGCCCCCCCCCCCTACCGTTGTATATTCCAGATCGAAAACCGACAGGGCAACGGTCTCGTGGCCCAGTGGTTAGAGGCGTGGACTTCTAACTAACAGGTCGCGAGTTCGAGTCTCGGGTGTTCCACACTTCGGGGTTGGGTATGACTGACTGACGATGGCTAATAAGCCAGAAATGGCCACTCCAGTCTCCCTTGTCTTTGTTGGTAATGACATGCTGATGATGTGTTCATTCCTGTGATGATTTACTGCAGGCTTTCATGCAAACGTACAGCGAGTGACCGATCTCATGAAATGTTGGCTGAAATTCTGAAATGCGTTTTCGATTAGGAAGGATTACTTGGTCGCGGTTGTATTACTGACTATCTTGCGACATACTCTTATAACATTTCGGACTCGGCAGGATGTCGGCTTTTAAATGCACTCCTTTTTAATCTCTTGTAGAAAGCGTGCTCGGTAAAAAATGACTACTTAAGTAGCATGCATTTTCCCATTGATTTTCGATGGTCTTGGAAATTCAAATATATTTTATAGAAACCATGAACAAAAATATGCTTTCTTTTAGTCAATCAATAGAGAACGAGGTCTTCTTTATATTCTATACTTAAGGAAGGAGTATAATTAGGTTTTGAAAAAGTTTCTAACTATGAGACTTTTTAAGACCGCGAAATGTCCATTCACATAGCATCGTACCTGTCCGTTTACCACTGCTCCTCATGGAATGTACAACATGGCCCGCATCCATTGCAAAATTTTATGGACTCTGTATGATACCTCTTTAATAGCATAGAAAAATATGTAATTTTCTTTACGCGGAACGCATGCACCTTGTAGAGTGAAATCACTAAGCGTTAATGCAACGAATGATCAGGCTCCAAATTATTCGGAAATTAGAAAACTTTTTGAAAACCTAATTATACACCTTCCTTAAGTATAAAATATAAAAAAGACGTGATTCTCTATTGATTGACTAAAAGAAAGCATATTTTTGTTCGTAGTTTCTATAAAATATATTTGAATTTGCAAGACCATCGAAAATAAATGGGAAAAATGCATGCTACTTAAGTAGTCATTTTTTACCGAGCACGCTTTCTACAGGAGATTGAAAAGAAGTACATTTGAAAGCCGACATCCTGCCGAGTCGGAAATATTATAGGATTATGCCGCAAGATAATCAGTAATACAACCGCGACCAAGTAATCCTTCGTAATCGAAAACGCATTTCAGTATTTCAGTCAACATTTCATGAGATCGGTCACTCACTGTATGTGGCCTAGTAGACCCATGCGGTTGCTGAATGTGCGAGGACAATGCGGGGAGTTGAGGCGAGTGCGCGTAGGTTAGTGCTACAGACCCTGGTTCGCCAATTTTCGGGTAGTGGATTTGCAAGTGACCGACCAGGCTGATGCGTGGAGTAAATGTGCAATATCAGTTTGGGCTGAATAGGTCGGGATCTGCAGAGTTGGTTTCGACAGCGGGGGTGCTACTTATGGGGAGCGCGATGGGGATTTGATTAGGTTGGGAGTGGTGGATATGCAAGCCATTCTAAGTGTGTTGATACTGCGATGAATTGCACTGTCGTGTATTTGATTGAATAGGCCCGTGTGGTGAATGGATGTGCGTTGACAGTGAAGGCGGATGAAGTGAGTGCAGGTTGATGCTCTAGGCGTTGGCTCGTCAGTTTCTGTGCGATGGATTCGCAAGTAACCGACTAGGCCGGTGCGCGAGGTGAATGTGCGGTCGCAATGAGGACAGTTTGGGATCGAATCCACATTGCCGGATGCGGGAGTGTGATGGTGAGGGTGGTGGTTGGCGAGACGTCGGGAGCGTTTCGTCCGGTTGTGGTTGTCGTCGTCACTGAGGTTTCGGCAGAAATGATGGGGATGGCGATGATCGACGGCGGCACGGCTCGGCACGGTGATGTTGAGCATCGGTGGTCAGGATGAGCGTCATCGTGGACGCCACGGAGTTTGATGGAGGGGGCGGTAGTGGAGACAGCAGTTTTGGTTGTCGGGTGGTTGGTGCGCTGGGTCCGGAGAAGTCCAACGAGGCTGGTCCCACGCGCAAAGTGTTCGCTGACGCAGTGGGTACGGCGAGAGGGTTTGGGGGTTGGCGTTGTGGATCAGGGGCGTCTGAGACTTGCGAGCCTATTTTTTATCTTCGGCAGCGGCGACCCGGTTGGTTCATAGATGGGTGCTCCAGTCTTCGCTGCTTTCCTATCGTCCAGTCGGTTATGTGCGAGGTATTCTCAGGTCTTTAGGTTGATTTGTAAACGCGTCAAGTAGTTCTTTAAGGTGTCTTTGTAACAACGGATTTGACCTACTTGTCGGCGAACACCTTTGGCAACATCTCCATAGAAGAACTGTCTTCGTAGATGAGCGTCATCTATCCTCGTGGAATGACCCCTCCGACGTAGTTACAATTGCCTCAGCATGGCGTAGATGCTGAGGACTCTGGTCCGTTCCAGAACCTCCGTGTCGGGGAACCTGTCCTGCCATCTCAGTTTTAATATCCGGCGGGGACAACTGAGGTGGAAGTGATTCAGTTTTCGCGCTTGTCTCTTGTAGACTGTCCAGGTCTCCACTATAAACAGTAGCGTTGGCAGGATGACAGCTTTATTCATCTTCAGTTTGATTTTCAGATGGAGACCGTAGCGATCGCATACGAAGTTCTGCAGCCGACCGAAGTCTTATCTGGCTTTGGAGGTCCGGTGAGCCACTTCATCGACGATTTTGGTGCATCATGAAAGTATGCTGCCTAAGTAGGCGAAATTGTACACGGTCTTCTGTTGGGTTCCGTTGACGTGGATGCAAGTAACACTGCATGCCACGTTCGGTGGCAGTTTTTGCATGACCACCGTTTCGTCCGTGTTGATAGTCAACCCGAAGTTGACGCACCCGACAGCGAAGAGTTCCATGCTCCGGTCCACGTCACTTTCTGATATGTTGTTAAATGCGCAGTCAACCGCGAAGAGCAGGTCGTGAACAGTAATCGTGAAGAGACGCGCGGAGGCCTGCATGCGCCGGCTGTTAAGAAGATGACCACTGGTCCTGTACGCGATGTGGATTCCGGATCGCTCATCACGGTAGGCGTCCATCAGCATGGTAGAAAACATGAGATTGAAGAGGGCTGGGACGGGTACGCAACCCTGCCTCACTCCGCAGTCTACTGCAAATGCTTCTGAGACGAGTCCGTTGTCCGCGACGCGCCATCATCCCGTCATGGAGTTGAAGCGCCAGGTGCGTAAATCGTTCAGGACAGCCGAATTTCTGCATTGTTTTCCACAATCCCTCACGATTCACCGTATCAAAGGCCTTCGTCAAATCCACGAAGGTATTGCAGAAATGGGTCCGCATTTCCTGACACTTCTACTGCAGCTGCCAGTTGGCGAAGATCAGGCCAGTGGATACACGGGACGTCGAAAGCCACACTGGCTTTCCGAGATAAGTCCTTGTACGAGGTGGCCGTTAAGATGGCTTCGGATAATGCGAAGGAGGATCTTCCCGACGGTGTTGGGAGGAGAGATTCCTCTGTGGTTACCACAAAGTTGCCGGTTATCTTTCGGGTGATTATAGCGTCCTTGAAGTCCTGGGAAACTTCTCCTCGACGCCGCATCTTCTGAAATGGCGTGTTGAGTTGATCCATGAACTGGGGCAACCGCGCGCGTAGACATCGGCCTGAGCCGCTCCTTGGCGTGCCGCCACACCCGGCTCGGATCTCACGGATTGCGTCAGCCACAGAGGTCACATTAAGAAGCAGACCTTGCAGCCTGGTTCTCAGTTCATCAGTCCGCCACTCCACACAAACGCGCACTAGATTGACTGCGAGGTCTCAATTATCGCCTCAGTTGGCGACCTCCGAGGTCATGGCTTTTAACGCACAGGGATAGTCTAAAGCGCGTCAGATTGTCTGTAGCAAGGACTTATCAGGACTTGAGTTCGGATTTGTATGCTCCCAGATGTCCTTTTATTGATTCGCTATGGCTGTTTTGAGCGTTTAAACTTACACAAGGCCTCAATTAGGCTGTTCTTCCAGTTGGCTCTGTGCTGCCATCTTCGAATGTCGACCAATTTATTAAATGCTTAGGCTAAAGCGACACCGTCAATGTAATACTTTTATTGCTACTGACATTTTATAAGTACACGTTTGTGTTCATTTGCAATTTCGACAGAAATTAACCTATGGACTCGGAGTTGAACCTTCGTCACAAAACTTCTCAGATTCGGTTCGAAAGTCAATGCGCCAGCTTTGATTGAGAAGTCATGTAATATTCATACACTGCCCACAGGCAGTCATTTAAGTGCAAGCACGGATTGATTCACCATAAGACCAGCAGGCGTACCAGATGAAAGCCCAGGCACGTGTTTGGCCGGATTTGTGCCGCTGCTGCAGGGGATTCGGCTCGTCCACTGCGTCAGGCAGCGGCGCAAAATCCGCTAAACGCATGTTGGGACTGTTAAGGAGTATGGGGAATCAGTCGATATTCAGAGATGGTTTACTTTCAAGTAATTTGTATATTAAAGGTGGATGACGAAATTGGGCGACTCAGTAGGCTTGCAGGCATTGGGTTGATTTGAATTCCAGGAAAAAAAAAACAAGTAGGAGACAATACTTATGTAGTGGTGTGTTGATAGGTCGTGTCCTAACTGCATATGCTAATACCCTAAACCCCCGATTCTTCTCGACACCGTCTTAAGGGTTTTGGGGTTTGCAGCATAAAAGGTGGGACACGGTAATAGGAACCAGCCCTCGTAATAGAGGTGGCCTTGCGCAAATTCCAGGCGGATTGAAGCCAAGGTTAGTGTTAGGTTGAGGGTTGGGTTTAGGTTTGGGACACGAGAATAGCTTCCTTTCCTGGAATTGAGTGTAATGTCTCTTATATTACGGGAGGTCCTGATTCCGCGTCTTACCGTACGCATTCACAAACACTTTCCTTAATGCCAAGCTCGAAATAAAGTTCGTCCGCATCCAAACTGAAAAGATCGCAAACCCGTTTTGATTTGACTTTAGGTTCTAACCCGAATTTACAACTGCTAGTCAAGGACTTGTTGAATGAATAATCTAATCTCAATTTTAAGTATTTCGCAACGAATTTTTTTTCCATTGAGTGTTTGAAGTTTAACGTTCAAAAGACACACTCTTTGACTTGGAAGTGAGCCTCTTCTTTCAGTTAACCGATAAATGATCTGCATGGACAGACTCCGTGCTTGGGTGTAAACACACTGCACATCGGCTGAGTTTCGCTTCACCATAAAGAAGGCAGACTGTAACTTTCTTGGCAAATAAGAAAAAGGAATTTTGATGTCCCACGGCTTATGCGGTCTTTTTGGACACTTATTTTGCGTTCTCAGTAAATTCTTATAGCAAGCTGTCAGTACAGGGAAAACCTGAGAGGACTTTTGCATGGGAAACAACGAGACTACATGCCAGACAGTCTCTAGGTGCACCACTGTCCGCATATTTACTTAATTTTACTTTCGCCATTTTGGAAAGGTACCACATGTGACGGAATCACTCCTCGTCTCTTTGTATTTTTTGCTCAGATGCTGATTTCTCCTACATTTGATACTGGCTCATGCACAAAACACTCGCATTGAGAAAATGCAAACACATTCGTACTTAACGACAAGGCAGAATTATCTAGAGACAGATTCTAACTCATCGGAGTGGGGGGGGGGGCAGTGCCATTTGTGGACCAACTCATATAACCAATCATATAAATAGGCAAGCAGGTCGAAAAATAGGTCCCACAGCTGTGGATCGTAAATTCAGTAGTCCGTCATTGACGTCAGCAGAAAAGGTAAACTGGTTCACTTTCTCTACCTCCCTCCCCAACCCCATTTCATTGCACTCATCACCTTCCAACAACTCGACTAAGACAATTCAAACTTCATTTTCCGGCTGGTCAGTTTTTTAAGGTGTTTCTTTGATGATGATGCTCTAGGGGGTATGTGTGAGCTGAAAAAGGCCTCTGCCTAAACGCCTCGGAAGGAGAGATAATCAAGCCAGCTAGCTCTCTCTCCCCTGCGCGCTCATGCACGCACTGGCGTGTGGCGCGCCTTTCAACAGCCTTCAGTTGGAGGTTTCGTGCCGGACCAGACTCTTTGTGCTGGCCTGGCGTGAGTGAGCGGGATTTGACGTGTGCCACACCTGAGGAATCTTCCCCTGCATTTAGTCCGCCCCCCCTTCCCACCCCACGTTTGACAAAAGGACTAACTCGGGAGAATGAGGAGGGGGGCTAAGTAAACAGCTAATGAGTCTGGACAGCTTAGGTAGGGGGCGTTGGTTGTTGGCCGATGATCTAGCCGGTCAGCAGGCTGACGGGGTCATTCCCCACTTTCCTTGACCTCTAGTCCTAACATTCTCCATCATTTAGGGGACAGACTGACTGTCACGCAACATTTATTCCACCTCGCTCCCAAATCACTATGATGCCACCGATGTGTCTGGTATACTGGACATTCTTGTCGGTAGGTTCTAAGTTCAAAAAATACTGTCGAAGTAAAAGGACCCCATCGTCACCGAATCTTGCACTACTACTACTACTACTACTACTACTACTACTACTACTACTACTACTACTACTACTACTACTACTACTACTACTACTACTACTACTACTACTACTACTACTGCCTCATTCAAGTTATCCTTCCTAAGCGAAAACGCATTTCAGAATTTCGGTCAATATTTCATGAGGCGTTTGCAATAGTGCGAACCGCACGTGCGTTGCCATCTTGAATTCCACTTTTCCACGGTTTAACTTTTCATGGCGCCGCAGAAACGCCCGCTGAAGGTGATCAGGGGATCTAGTTCAGGGAATAACGACGAATAAAGCCCAGTACCCTCGTACTTCTCCGCCTCTGTCAGAACACCGGATGCTGAATGCTTTGGTGCTAGCCGGATTCCGCTTAATTCGAGGACGACAGCTTGAGTCTTGTAATGTTTCTGTGCTGCAAAGACCCAACGATGTCCAACTTATCAGACATATTATTTTTCTCATGCTGAAAAAAAGGCTTCAGCGTGGTGTTGATGGTGGTGGTGGTAGTAGTAGTAGTCGACGAAAATCATCCTTGCCTGAGGGGGGCAGAGGTGGCTTGTGTGCATGTGGGTGGGTTTAACTGCAGCAAGAAATGCCTGCACGCATCGACCTAACCCCATTTTCCTACACCCATGTTGCTTTAGTAGCAAGCTAAGCTCCAGACGACGGGCTTGGCACCATGGCCAACCAGGCATTCGCGTCGCCTGCGTGCGTCACACACGTGCACTCCACACGAACCAGAATTTGTTGAAACAGATCTCATTATGACCCTAACACCAAAGTAGGCGGAGAACTGTACAAGCTGCTTCTTGCTGCGTGGGATCCAGTTACCCCTTCGTTATACCTTAAAAGCACTTCAAAGGTTTAAGTCAGGAAAGGTCCCACAGACGCCGTGACTAATGCAAGTCAAGCATATTGGAGGTGAGGTCGGATGTAGTATCTAATTTGTAATGAAGCCTCTGTCTGACACGCGTCACACACACTTGTATGGGGTCCATTTAGGTCTGGTGTAACAGCATAGTCTGTTTCTGCAGCCCACGCCTAGGTATTGACAATTCCCCAGTTTAATTTGATGGGGAGCACCAGAGTCCCACAGACAATAGCTACCGCAGCGTAAAATGGAGGCGACTTCCAAAAATCTACCTCAAAATCTATTCCCTCACCCATCATATTCCATTGGAAAGTCGCAGTCGGTACTACAAAATATGAGCATGGATGCGGTGGCTGTCGTGACATAAAGCCTCTACAAACGACAATTTGGCCGTCGTTAACGCTAATGTTCACCGCATGAGCCAGAGCAAAGTGGGCGCGAATTAGGTTATGCCGAGAGTACAGTGCGTGACCGATGTCATGAAATGTTAACCAAAATTCTGGAGTGCGTTTCCGATTAGGAAGGATTACTTAAGTGGGGTTGTTATACTGATTATCATGCAGCATAACCCTATAACATTTCGGACTCGCCAGGATGTCGGCTTTTGAATACATTTCTTTTTGACCTCCTGCAGAAACCACACTCGGTAAAAAACGACTACTTAAGTAGCATGCATTTTCCTATTGATTTT